GTTAACTATCAGGAGGGAATAAATACAAATCAGATCTCCTGAGATGGCCGTAATGGAGCATAATGTCTCAAGAATGTACTAGTTCAGGGTGAAGATGCTTTTTGCAGTAGTGTGAATTTACTCTCCATTTATAGATGGGTCAGTGACTTGAATTACCTGCCAGGCTATGTAATAACTAATACTCACTTGTATTGCTCTAAAATTCGAAATGTTCAGTACCTGAATGCAGTACATGAAAAAGCTATTAAATGGGGCAGGAGGATAATCCCTTTTATAGTTATTAAAGGGGGTGATAATCCATCCATGTAACTTCAAAAATATTCACTGTGGCTGTGTCTACACTGGGCCACTTATTCCGGAAAATCAGCCGCTTTTCCGTAATAAGCTGCGAGCTGTCTACACTGGCCCTTGAATTTCCGGAAAAGCAACGATGCTCTACTGTACAAAATCAGCCGCTATTCCGGAAAAACTATTCTGCTCCTGCTCGGGCATAAGTCCTTATTCCGGAACACTGTTCCGGAAAAGGGCCAGTGTAGACAGCCCAGTAGTCTTTTCCGGAAAAAAGCCCCGATCGCAAAAATGGCGATCGGGGCTCTTTTCCGGAAAAGCGCATCTACATTGGCCACAGACACTTTTACGGAAAAAGGGCTTTTCCAGAAAAGCAGCCTGCTAATGTAGACGCTCCTTTTCCGGAAAAATCTGAAAACGGAATAGTATTCCGTTTTAAGCAGTTCCGGAAATTCATGCCAGTGTAGACGTAGCCTATATTCACTTGTCATAACACCACCTTAGATAATCCTCTAAACCATTCTATGCAGTTAAAATATATAAACGATTCCTTATTACCATCTCCCATAAATCAATGGCGGCTAAAAAATTTTGGTCAAGAAACACTGGACGCATTCCACAGAGACTTTAACAATCTACACCCCACCATCAATCTCAGCTTGGACCATTCTACATGAGAGATCCATTTTCTGGACACCACAGTACATATTACTAATGGTAAAATAAATACCACTCTCTACAGAAAACCCACTGACTCCTACAGTTACCTACGTGCCTCCAGCTCCCATCTAGGACACACCATATGATCCATTGTCTATAGCTAAGCCCTTAGGTACAACCGTACGGGGCGGATATAGGGCAGGGTGAACGGGGCGGCTGTCCTGGGCCCCACGCTTCAAGAAGCCCCGCGCATGCATGTGGTGCCACTGCGCATGCGCATGGTGCCACCGCGTATGTGCCGTGGCAAAGGGGGGCCCCATGAAATTGTGCTGCCCTGGGCCCCGCAAAATGGTCATCTGCCCCTGCAACCACATCTGCTCTAATCCCACTGACAGAGACCAGAAACTTCAGGATCTCTACCAAGCATCTGTAAATCTCAATTACCCACTGGGGGAAATAAAAAAAATAAATTGAAAGAGCCAGACCAATACCCAGAAACCATCTACTTCAAGACAGGCCCAAGAAAACCAAAAATAGAACACCACTTATCACCTATAGCCCCCAACTTAAAACCTGTCCAACGCATTATCAATAACCTACAACCTATACTGGAACAGGATACTACACTCCGAGAGGCTCTGGGGGACAGACCCATAGTCTCCTATAGACAACCACCTAACCTCAGGATGATTCTTACCAACAACCACAGGACATACCACACCAATACCAACCCTGGAACTTTCCCTTGCAGCAAACCCCATTGCCAACTTTGTCCACATATTTATTCTGGTGACACCATCACTAACCATGTCAGTTACAAGATCAAGAACACATATTCCTGTTCATCCAGAAATATAATTTATGCCATTGTGTGCCAACAGCGTCCTTCTGCTATGTATATTGGACAGACTTCTCAGACACTTTACCAAAGAATTAATGCCTACAAATCAGACAGACACCTTCACAAAGATAAATTAGTTTCTTTTCCTTTCAACCAACCTGAGCATCGTCTTAACGACATTACTACATGTATCTTACTTCAAAGAGACTTTAACACCAGACTACAAAGGGAAACCTCAGAACTGTCATTCATGCTTAAATTTGAAACTTTATGAATGGGCCTTAACAAAGATGCTACTTACCTTACCCATTACAAAGATAGCTTCCCCAATTATCGCCACTAGTATCATTATCTCATAGATACTAGCCCTCTCCCTCCCCCCACTTCTGTTCTAAATCTGATTTGTCAGTTTTATAATGTGTTTGCTTTTTTTCATTGTATTCCTTTGGTATATATGGTCATGACAATTCTCCAGAATTTGATCTGAGAAAGTGGGTCTGGCCCACGAAAGCTCATCACCTAATAAATCATCTTGTTAGTCTTTAAAGGGCTGCATAGTTCTTTCTTTTGGTTCAGCAAGATCAGACTAACACGGCTACATCTCTACTACTAAAAAAATCCAGTAAGCATAATTTAAAGAAGTGCCACATGGAAATAAAACTATGAGTCACGATTACTTTGGCAATCACTCAGATATGCTTCATCTTCTGTAATCTCTAGGTTATCATTCTCCTTTCCGTGTCACAAATACAGTCTATAAAAAAGGTAAAATACCCGACTCTTTTCTGTGCCTGGATTTCTACAATGAGGACAACAGCTTCATTCTCAACTGCGCCATCTGTTGCTGGATCACTATAATGCTTAATTTAAAGCAAGCTACTACAAGCATGACCATTCAAGGTTTTTGTTTTTAATAGTTTATCCAGTGCTGGAAATATAAAATGGTACTGCAGCAGACGAGCATCATGCTACACCACACTGAACTCCAACACCCAGAATCTCCTCCAGTTGCTGTAGGTAGTTGACCTAAGTTTACACCCTGGCTCTGGACCACCAAATATTGGTTCCCAACATCTGGAGGCTACAAAGATAGTGTAAAGCTATTTCCAGTCTTGTAATGAGTACAGTCTGCTCAGACCAGAGGATCTTGCCTTCTACAGGCTGGACCTCCCTGGTCTGGCACCCTCAGGGCCTAACCAGTGCCAGATGAGGGATTTTGCCAGACCAAGGGAGATCATTTCTGGACCCGTGCCACCAGCTCTCTCCAGCCCTGGCCCTACCATCAGCCTCCCAGTCGGCTCCCGCTCCCTCCAGCCTCACTTCCCTGACAGTCCTCACGGCTCTGCCAGGCAGCCCCGCCTCTGTTCTCTCACTTCAGCGCCCAGCTCCTGCAGTCATACCAGGCAGCCCTGCAGCCTCTGCATGCCCAGTTTCCACTGCCCTACTGAGCAGCCCCACTCTCATGTGTGGGACTCCCACTGCCCTAGTCAGGTTCCTGCTACCCTACCAGCCTCAGGGCTGGTGGAGAGCTAGCACCTGGAAGAACACTCTGGCCTGGAACATCCATGGTCCTGCTGGACTACAGATGTTGCTGGACCAGAGAATCCCAGGTAAGAGAGTTTCAACCTGTAGTTTACATACATCATTAATAAAAATGTAGAACATAAACTGCATGATTAGTTTATATTTAATATCCGGTACTCAAGGAGATTAGTTAGTTTAGACCAGCATAAGACACAAACTAAACATTGACTCCAGTGAGATAATTGAAGTTAGTGGGGATAACAGCAATGGGAGAGCAGAATCAGTCGCATGGCGTGTATATGATGCAATTTAAAGTTTGACTAAAGGTTGAATTTGGTTACATGACAACAATATTCCTATAATTACTTCATGAGATTTAATCTCTGTTTTGAAGGCTGGAAGTCCCAAAGAGTGCAAGTTTTAGTCTTCAGTGAGCCTAGCATCAGAGTAAAAATTACACACACACACACACACACACAGTCTGAAATCACATGTCCAATTTTCTGAGGGGCACTAAAGGCTACTAGTTATAGCTATGAACTAGCAAATGTAACTGTACTCTTTTGGGGATACAATGCCCCTCAGGCTATGCTCCTTTGGATTCCCAGCCCTTGCCCAGAATCTTCAGCATGATAGTCTCTTCAACCATAGTAAAGCAAACTCCTCTTGCCATACAGCATTTGCTGCAGAAGTAACATTCTCCTTCTCCAGAAACGATCTTGGCAACAGTACTGGTTATTGTTCCTTCGTATTTTAATTGACAGAGATAGGGAGACAAAGCTTACTGGACCCGGAACATCTCAGTCTAAAACATCACGTGAAAAGGACATCACTTAATAAAACATTATTCTGCAATAAAAGCCTTTTGAGCTTTTAAAGCTGCATCTGAACACCCCTTTGCTAAGTATTCATTGTCCCAACCTTCTCAGTCCCCAAATATTGATTGGGCTTGTGGTTACATTGTTACAGCTCTAATGACTTCAAAAAACCACAGCCATGTAGCAATGAACAAAATTGCTCATGGTCATTTCAGCTTGCACTCCCTGCCCGTGACACAAATGGAAGAAAAGTCTTCCCCCACCTATCTTTCTTTAAAGTAATAATTAAACTAACTAGTGCAAATTAAAGTTACTAAAGACCTGTTGCAAGATCTTATTTTAGACCGGAGTACATTTGACTGTAGCTTCTTCTTCCAGGACATTCTTACAGTATATCATAGAAATTCAAATGATTTCCATTAGATTGCATAACATTTGACAGTCAATAGGAAGATGTCCAGTTTAAAAAACAACAGATAACTCCCTGGTACTGGTATTTGGGGTTTCCTTGTGCTGAACATGAACAAGCACAATCCTGAATTTAATGCAAAAATTCCACACCACCTCTTAGGAATTAAGATAAGCTTTTGACTAGAAAAACCTATGTACTGCAATTTTTTTTAAACTATTTTATGCCGTTTGATAGATTTCTTGTCTCTATTGAGTTTCTACAGGGTTTCTCCTTCTCCCCACAAAGCAGCCTCTGAGGCATTCAAATACAGATTTTCTCTAGTTTGAGCATTTGATAAAGCATTTCTCTACCCAAACACCGAATCAAAGTTTAGTTACTTACTTGCTCCATGTGGGGATTCTAAGATTATCACACAAATGCACCCTTTGATTCAGGACTGCCTGTTCTTCCCTTATAGGAGCTGCAGCTACAAGTGCAGCACTGCAATAACAGGCAGCCTCCTTCAAGACCTGACAATCATTCCAAACTAGCTGCCAGGAGTCAATAGCACAATGCAAACTCCACCCGCGCTGAGAAACCAACTGGATCTATGCCTTCATACCTCCAGTTCTCTCTAGATGCAAGCGTCATGAGACCCCTCTCAAAACCACTGCGCCTTTGTGACAGAGCACTGTGCTAACCCTCCTGACCTGATTCAAAGCTCAATGAAAGCAAGTAAGTATTCAATGGGCTTTGTGGCAGATCCTGATTCTTACATAGACACCACACACATCCCATATGAGGCATAACCAGGGAAGTGTGTATGATCAACTTTTTTTTTAAAATCCTTGAATTATTATTTATATGACCCTTTAAAGGGAGGCTTGCAAATTACCTTAAATTACAGTGGGTATTCTAATGTGCATGAAATCAGGGTCACGATCATTACGTGGTGGCATATGATGAGAAAACAAATGTGAGGAAAATTGCTTTTAGAGTCTGACTGAGATAAATCGCTTGCAATCAATGAGGGGAGCCGACAGCTTCGGTGGGCCCCCGGTCAAGGTGTATGGGGGACTGGCTCTGTACCCCCGGGAAGGGTGGGGCCTGAGTTAGCTGCTCTCCACCCGTCAGAACCACCTGGATTGTGTGAGGCAGGACTCCAGCGTCAATTTAAAAGGCGTAGGGCTCTGGCCACCACTGTTGCTGCTACTTCAGCAATGGTGACCAGGAGACCCAGGCCTCTTTGAATCACCGAGCCCTGAGGCCATTGCCCCTTTTTCCCCCCCACCTCTCTCGGCAGGCCTGCTTTCAATATTTCACTTTAATATTTCCCAGAGGCCCAGAAGGCTACTTATTTAGTATTAAAGTCTCACTCTTCTCAGGAACAGCAGTTAATAGAACTAAGAATGGACATTTAATTCTCCTTCCACCTGCAATGTGTTAGATGTTCACAGGTCAAGCTTTTATTTTGGACAATCTAATTTTTAATTACTACAATTATGAATGCATAGGCTGCAGTCTCCTGTGGCATAGGTTCTTTTATTGGCGTTATTGTAAGTCAACAATAGCTAAACAGCATTTAATGACACTGTGTGTTGCTAGAATTGCTTTCCCATTGAGTGTTTTCATAAGGAATATATAATTATATTGAGTTGGGGAAGTAATCGTGTCAGATACCACCGAATCCTTTTTCTAGATCTTAACATGGCATAATGCAAAAATATTACTACAAAGTTCTCAAAGCATTTCTATAAAGATAGAGGGTATTTCCACTTCTGTACTATTTCCACTTCTACGCTATTGTATAAACATTTTGGTAAAAAAAAGTGTTCACTAAATATTTGAAGACCCATTATCATTGATTACAATCGATATCCATTTCTCTGCGACTGCTAACAGCACTAAGAATTACTGTGTGCAAATACTGACAGTAAACACTTGTAAATGTTGTCTATAGCCAGCACAATATAATTATACGTGCCTTGTGAAAGCACACAATGGGAATGGAATTCTAGTAACAACTCTGCTGAAAGGGTGGCTCCCAGTCGCCGGTGCAGCGGGGCTAATGGAGACTCCCACTCCCTCCTGGCCTGCACCACTGGCAGAAGCTGCCACAATGTGGCCACATGGGTCTGTGTAGTGCTGCCCCCATTAACCTTTGTTCATAGCACATGAGGACTGAGAGTTTCCTTGATCCTCCATCCCTAAGCATAGGGGCCACGAGGCGAGCCAACCAGCATGGCATCTTAGATTTTTCCAGTGGGGGTGGGGGGAAGAACACAAGGCTCGGGGCTTCCAACCCCTGGTGTCGAGACTTGTTGCAGGTTGGATAAAATTAAACAGGGGGCTGGTTCCAGTCCACCAGCCTGAGGTCTTGTCTCCCTTCCCCTGCTGAAAAGGATTAATAGCAACAATAGTAAGTAATAAACCCAGCAAGTATTGTGAAGGGGGAAAAAAAAAAAAAAAAAGTAACTGACCTTGGTGCAGGGAGATTTCACTCTGCCATCGCCCATTAAGATAGGTGTCCTAATCACCAGGCTATACAGTAATTCTCCCACTTGCACTCTCTTTCGCTGGCCCTCTGATGCAAGTATTTATCCAAATTTGGACAACTGCCACCGAAGAGAATGCGGGAACTCACATCAGAATAACCCATAGTAGCCCACTTAGCAGAGCCCTCTTGTGGGAGGACCCTGCTCAAATCCTTCCTCTGTGCCTGGGAAAGAAGGAAATTGACCTTCAGGTTCAGTGTCCCAGATGAATGCTCTAGCCACAGAGCTAAAAGGAAGAGGTCATGATGTTTATTGCAAGAAATGTCCTACGTGTCTGAGCCAGCAGGCTCTGGGAGAGGGGTTCTAACTGTTGGTTGCAAACATCTCCCTGCAGCCTGGACGCTGGCACCTAATTCTGAGGTGCAAGGTTTAGGACACACCCCCTTTTGTTAGCATCTCTCAATGGCTAGGTTAGGTGGCATAGCATGCTGGCTTTGAAGATCCCCATTCATAGGCCTATCTTTCCCGATGCATCATACAGAGACAATAGGAACTTAAGTTAGTCTTTGTGGATCCAATCATTGTTCCAGTAATTTTCTAGAAGCCTGAAAGGTAATGTCCCTTTGTGGATCTGGACTCTAAATCCTATTTGCACTTGCTTGGGGACATAAATTTCAGTGGCGGTTGAGGCACCTAATTCCTCAAGTCTCTTTGGGAAAAGTTCCAGCTTTGTTCACCTATTTCCTAACACATCAAAAAGCAATGTAGCCACTAAGGGATGGTTGCATCTTTTAGTTTCCTGTTCACTGCCAGTTGTCAACTGGCATTCAAGTCTCTAGGTAATCAGTCAGCGTATGCAAATCTACTGTATTTGGCCCATTGCTGGTGAATAAGGAGAAGCAAAATAGGAAGCAGGTGATTAAAATACTTCATGTGGTATGGAAGGGAAAAAATCCCTTTGCATGCAAATGGATGCTCAAATAGAACCCACCTACATGTCCATATTGCTATCTAAATAATTAGTAAATTGTATCTTGACTGGTTATGGGACACTCCATACCTCAGAGTACTACCCTGAAATGCCACACTCACCTCTGTGATAGGATTAGGATAGGGATTGTACAATGATATCTCACAAGGCATGCATTTATATTCACTGAAAATTAGGGACGTAAAACCCCATGTCGTTAGTGAACCGGTTAAATGTTAAATTTAATGGATTATATGGGGACGGGTGGACTGGATCGCCCATCCCACCCCATGAGCAGGCCCCGCATGAGGCTACTGGCTCCCAGCCTAGGTGGGGTCAGCAAAGCCAGCAGCCCTGCACAGGGACCTGTCAGGACTGGAGAAGCCATCCACCTGCAGCAGGCTGTGGGCTGCTTCCCAGGTACTGGTTAACCATTAAGGGTGATGCTTACCAGGTAACCAGTTAACATCCCTACTTAAAATCAGTCTGTAGTAAATAAATGTTTTATATATTTTACCTACCAGTGTGTTTTGGTCAAATCGCATGGGGGAAAATCGTGGTTCAGAGGGGTGCAAGACTGTCATAACCAAACTGGTATCCCAAGCTAGAGTAGCTTTGCTAACTGCCCTTGCCTATCTAGAATTTTCAGGGTGTGCCGATTGAACTATAGCAGCACTTTAATTGAATGCAGAGGGAGCACATGTGGGTCTCACAATGTTGTGTGTGCCGATTGCACACCCCTCACTTCATGTGCCCTTGCTTTAAGTGCATATCACTTTTGTAATACAAGACAGACTAATGCTACATGGACAAAAAACAGCAGAATCTAGCAACCCTGTACATGGGCAACGGGAGATGTCTCGTGGGCCACACAAAATCTCAATAGGCCACATGCAGCCCTTAGGCCGCAAGTTGCCCACCACTTCAGTAAAGCGAAGATTTAAACAATATAAAAATCTGCCACATGAGACCAAAAAAGTTTAGAACCACATGGTCTTGCAGATTCACGCAGAAAGGGTGGGTGGACAGAGCTATACAGTCATAGTGACGAGCAATAGAGATGGACACAGCAGCTGGAAAGGCTTTGAAAGTTTAAAAAGAGCCAGCAAGCTCTGTAGAAGAATCCTATGAATGAGAAACAAAGCATCAAACCAGCTTTTAAAAAAAATTATTAGTACTGGGGGGAAAAAACCCCCAACAACCAACCCTTTCTCCTTTAGGTATTAAACCAGCTGAATCTGTTAAGCTGGCTACAGGCCTAGAGGACTATTAAAGAACTAGCTTTCAACAGTACATAAGCCTCTTTAGCATGAATCTCTTTTGTGCCTGCAGAGCTGGATCTCAATTCAGTGGACCTTGAACTGAATGTTTGGAACTCAGGAAGTAAAACCAGAACTCTGGCAAACCAGCCAGGACCTGTCCCCTTCCCCGGTTCCCAGCAGTCTGCATTGCATCCTTCACAGTGTTCTGCCATGGTGATCTAGGAGTGCCTCAGTGCAGCAGAAAAGTTTCAGTTCAAATCTTTCTAAGGAGGAGATCGGCTAAAGATGAACAGAGCAAATGGTGTTCGTACTGAGTGAGCCTTCAAGTTTTTCCCTCATGCTCTTTAGTTACCTTTTGCAGGAAGGAGGAAAAGAGATCACGTGATTAGTGCTACTGGGCCAAATGTATCCCTGGTTTCAATAAATTTGGCCCACTGATGTAAATGGGCTTATTTGGATGTATGAAGCAAGCAGGTTTTGACCCCAAATGGATGAAAAATGGTCTTATATTGAAGAGGAATGTAAACGGAATGAATCAAGAAGTTTATATGGTGTATTTTCAACATGTACAAATTATTGACAGGTACCATTTCTGTACATGGCAATTCTTCCCAGAGATGATGGAGGCCATGATCCTGGCAAGTATTAATCAATTTAATTTATTCAGCACTCAATTTTCCTAGCCCCAAGAGCCAAAACTCTTTTGCCTTGATAGTCAGAGTCCCTGATAATTGCAATAGGGTTTGTAGTTAATACTGGCTAGAGGTGATCTGCACCTTAAACACCTCAGGCCATGTATGCACAGTACAAGTGGTAAATAATCATCAGTTGCGTTAAAATTGCCACCTTGTTAATACAGATAGTTTGTTAACTCGTCATCGGTTGAGCTGCTCACTGCTCGGACAGTTTGCTAAGCAGGCGGGACAATGCCAAAGGAACTACACAAACCCATGATGTGGATCCCTAAGCAACCCCTGGCCTAAGGAATAGGCCTGGCCTCCACCCACC